TCTTTGCGTTGTATGCACGCGTGTGCCTGCAGGGACGTGTCAAACTGTCTTTTATTTACTGAAGTGTCTCTCGTAAAAAGGAAACTCAGACGGGATGACGCGCCTTTCGATACTTGTCACGTTTTCCCAAAATATAGTTTTGGAGATACAAAGGTGGTTGGTGGATACGCTGCCGCACGTGGCTGGTTGGAATCCAGCGCTGTGGAGGCAAGCAGCGAGGGGTGGTGGATCACCGCACAGATGGGGAATGGAAACTCCCTTCCAGTGGGCGGAGGATGAGAAGACCGTACCCTGGCTCACAGGGGAGGAGGCGGTACAGCAAGTGGACGAATCTCCATCTGTTTCCGTTTGTACAGGGGATCGAGTATTGCTCCCTCACGCGTGGCGTGTGTTTTTTTCTGGGTTGCTCCGATTTCCTCCCCAACACTTAGACCATCATTAATTGATTCTAGATTTGAAGCTTTCGTTATCTGCAAGGATTCCTACTCTTAGGTTGTTCGGTAAAGTCACGTAGGTAAAAAATAAAAAAAATAATAGAATAGATATAAATTAAATAATAAATCACGACGCGTTTCGTGATTTATTTGAGACAGTAATCTAGTGTGACGGTTTTCCACTGATGACGGAGACGTGTTAACCCTCCGAAACGTGATTTATTATTTTTTATTCTATTATTATTTCTATTCTTTTTACCTACGTGACTACCGAAACCTAAGAGTATAAGTACTAATTAATTGGCCACTAATATCCCTATATATAGGGACCCCGAGATCTTGGGGAACTGTTGAGAGCGCTGGCTAGTCACTTGCGTGACTGCTACTGCTGCTGCCTTCCCCGCTTCTTTGGTCTGTGGTTCCTCCTCCTCCTCGCGCCTCTGAGCCCTCCCCTGTCGCTAGGAGAGCGAACAAAACGCCGTGCAGCGGCACAGCGTTGCAAGTTGTATTGCAAATGTGTATGTATGTTTAAGTAACTTCATAACATACACGCAGACATTTCGTCCTTACAGCCATTACTTCATAAAAGAGGTTTTTTGGGTTAGATCACGTACATATATAAATGTGTCGTTATACCCGCCATGACCCGACACAGCCAGTTAGTAAGGTTTGTCACGTAAACAAAACGTGCCAATTCGTCACTAGTACAGCACACCGGTGTGTTGGAGAGCAAATCCACAACATTTTACAATCTGAGTACGACGTTTCGCCAGTATTTACAACCGGCGTCATCAGGCGACAGCCAGATTTACATCAATTACATCCTGATCATTACTGCGGATGCGATGACCAGACAATACTGCACGCCATCCGTTTCACGGCGCACGTTAAAGATCCGTGACGTAGTTTGCAAGAGGGGGCCATTGTGTGTCGGCGTCAAAACCCACATTTGTGGCAAATTCGCAAAGGACACCACGAATTAATCAATTTGAATCACGCACACAAACAAGAGCACTCGTCGTCCCGCCGACTGGCAGGCTCATGCCCAGGAACAGCTGTCACTGGGGGCGAGATCACAGCAGCCACTCATCCGCCACTGCTTTGCAGACACGGCCTGTATGGATGGCCACCCGCGCTAATCGAGGCTTGGGGGAGGACCAAAAAATGACCACAACAAAACTGTTTTTTAAAGACTTGAGTCTTCAATATCGAATTTCAAAGTGCATCGCTCCAGTTAGACTTCCTAGTGTACCTCAAGTCACCCAACTTGAAAATTTGACTCACCCGGGTATCACGAGTTCGCACCCCGGGCATACAAGATACCGTGCACTCAAAAAAGCTGACCACTCACTGTGGGCCCTGGCAGTCAGCGAATGAGGACTGGAAAATACGAATGAGGACTGGCAAACAGGCGGGACCGTTGTACTGTGCGGAGGAGTCCCAGAGTGTTTCACACACGGCGCGCAACAGGCTGAAAGTTCACTCACCTGCCCTCTCACCTGCCCTCATACCTGCCCTCTCACCTGCCCTCTCACCTGCCCTCTCACCTGTCCTCTCACCTGCCCTCTCACCTGCACGCGTCTTTAACAGTTGCCGAGTACCCGGCTCAAAGGCCCCACTGAACGTCAAGCGGCCCGCAGCAACAGCACGGTTAAAATCGTCACGTGCGTCAGAGTTAATACGTCTCTTCAAATGAGCGAGGCGATGATGATGATGAATGCTTGGGTGAAAAATAGACGCTGGGTGATTGGAAGGGGAATTCCAAAGTGCGAGGGAAGAAGCGGCACGGGTGGGTGGGGGGGAATTCTCTATAACTCTATTGGTGTAAGGTGCTTTTTTCTGGAAGACTTTGCAGTTTTTTCCTGGATTTTTCTGTTTGCGCATAGTCACTTTAAGATGTTTTCTTGTTCATATTTTTTGTTTGTTGCAGTTGCACCCGATTCAAGAGCCGAAGGCTCACAGGGCTATACCTAATGAATGAAACTGAAAAAACTGAAACCTGTCCGCTTTGTAACCGTGGGTGCCGGACGTGAAGAGGTGACCCTCCTTGGACTTGCATCGCAACCACCACCCGCTTGCACGGGAATGTGTAAGAAGCTGCGTGCCTCGTTGCAGACAAGTTGTCGGCGGGGCTCGCGTGATCCCGACAGCAGCCACCGGAGGACGCTACACACACACGCACACGCGAATCGCGACAATTCAGGGGATGTCCCGGCGTCGGTCTTGGCGTCGGATGGCAGGGGAGTGGGAGGGTTGTCGTAAATCAGTAGTTCTTGGATATACTCGGGCCGACCATGGGATCGTGGAATTTCCAATGCTGGCTGAGGAGCGATGAAAGGTGGGCAGGCGTTGTCGACTACAACAGCGTTCTGGGGGGCATCACGAGAGAGACGGAGAGAGACAGAGGAAGCGGGCAGTGCCACCTTGCGTGCTGGAAACTAAACGCGGCGTGGATTTGCAGTCACCTCTTGGACACCTCAACAGGCGCTGACACGAAATTAATCCCGCGACAGAATGAAACAATAATTATGTTAATGTACCAGGCCCATATATGGATCGATGTACATTCACAAAATTTATTATTGCCGCGGCATTAAAATAATAAATTATGTTAATTGTACAGGCCCTTATATGGAGCTGTGTATATTAACATAATGTCTCGTTCATTCTGTCGTGGATGTATTTAGTCTCCTGTTGACAGCGCCTGCAATCCGCGCAGCAGAGGGCAATGCAGCGAAATCCATTGCTGTACTGTACTAAGGGGCCGTCCATAAATGACGTCACGAGATTTTGGACGATTTTTACCCCCCCCCCCCCCTTCGTCACGCGGCGTCACAAAAAGTCAGAACCCCCCTCAAATATGACGTCACAAAGCTCTGCCCCCCCCCCCCCAAATAAAACATGCTTCAAATCGCTTTAAACTATTGTTATTGTAGTGCGTATTTAATGTGGCGCTGCACTCTGTTGTAGGAGAAAACATTTATTAAAACGTCTATTTAATTAAGTAGAACGTGTTGTCTATATTTATTTAAAGTTGCGCATTTTGATGTGACGTCACATTTCTCCCCCCCCCCCCGGTGCGTGACGTAATTTATGGACGGCCCCTCTCACCTGCTTATTAAAGTGGATTTACGTGTCTACGTCGTGACGTCATGGCGGCGGCGGGAGGCGTGGTCGCGTTCAGGTGAGGAGAGATTGATCGATTCATCGATTATATTAGATCAATTCTTCACTCGCTCCACACCTCCGTTCGCGTACGCAAGGATCGATGGGGTTGTTTAAATTGCTGATCGATTCGTACACCGTTTTACACAACAGGTTCACGCGTTTCCCCCGCAGCCGCTAGAGGCCGCAACATTTGCGGTGGGTTCAACAGAGTCGCATACTTTGGAGGCAGCGCATTTATTTATTTAACAGAATAACAACCTCGGGTGGTGACCACCCGGCTAACTTCACTCGTTACCACGTCACTGTTACTAGGGACCCGGGACCAACAGCATCTGCCCGGGTCCACGTGCTGGAAGACTCGTAGATCGGAGATCGCAGACGAAGGGTTTCTTTCCCGGGATGAACAACCCCGGTCCTTCTCGGGACCCGGCTGATATTCTCTGCGGCGTGGCCGTCGTCCCCCTTCCAGAACCATCGGTAAGGATCTGGGTCCCAATCACGTGACCACCCCTAGCCCCCTCTTGGGCCCCCCCCCCTGTCACCTTCACCGGCCACGTGCCCTCCTCCCGGGTCAGTCGGAGTGCCACGACCTCACACGACCTTCCCCTGAGGTCGGCACCCACGCACCGTGTCCTGTAGGGCCGGCACTGCACTTGCAGCCTGGTGACATCCAGCGATGTCACATTTACCACAATAACATCAGTAGAATCGAGTATTAAATAGACGACACGTTCTCACGTGGAATCGACGTGAGAGCGATAACACACAATGCCCTGCAGAGCAATTCCTCGCCAGAACACGCCCACACACGCCCACAGACGCCCACACGCAAAGAAATCCGCGGCAGTTGCCATTCTTCACAATCGTTGCTCCCCCCTTCCCAACCCATGCCCCCGTATAAACAACAACAACCACCAAGGCGCCCAGCACACTGGGCAATGACAACAACACAGAGAGCCGGCTCTTTCTTGTGCACCAGCGGCCCCCAGGCAGAATCACCGACGTGTACTCCACCTGCGCCCCACCGAGGAACTTCCTCGCATTGTCCCTCTTCACCCACCCCCCTCCTCCTCCTCGCGCAGACTCTGCACAGAGGAAGGAGGTGGCCCATTGAACACGAACGAGGGGCAGTCGGCAGCGCCCTGAGCTCGGCATCGCGCTCAGCAGGCGCAGCGAGAGAGTGGTGGTGGGTGCTGCTCCCCCTCCCACACGCGGCACGTGTCGCCATCCAGGGCAGCAGCAGTGCGCTCCGCAGCTCCGCGATGGAGGGGGTGCTCTAGGGAGTTGGTGTTGGCGGCCTCGAAAGAGTCAAGAGGAAGGAGGCTCGAGGGAAGAGGTCGGCGGAGTGAGGAGGAGGCGGGAGTTGTTGCTCGTAGAGTTGGTGGACTTTCTGCTGGTCGATCAAGAGGTGGTGGAAGAGGAGGAGGAGGTTTGTGTTGGTGGCGGTAGGAGACTGCACCTGGAGCAATGGCATCCGGCTCGGAGCGCCGTCTCCGCACAGGTGAGGAGGAGGAGGCGAACCCGAGCGCAGCAGCTGCACGGAGGTCGTGATTTTCACCATTGCCATCATCGTGTCTTGTCCGGATTATAAGACGCACTAACCCCCCCCCCCCACCCCACTATGTTACAGCGACTGTTGGGGGGGGGGGTCTTATAATCCGGTAGATGCGCGCGCGCGTGTGTGTGAGCAGTTTCTTGCAACTTGACAGCGGGAAACTTGTGGGTTAACATGCCTTCCCGCACCTCCGATTAGCACGGTTGGCTACGTACGTACGGTGCGAAATAAGTTCAGCATACATATTTATAACCCGGCGTTTATATATACACACACACCGTGCCTCCGATGCAGTAAACCCATCTCATGTGCCGTTGCCCGAAACGTCGCCGATGGTATTTTTTCACTTTTAAAGCGATAGTGTTATTGACGAATGTGTTGAGTAGAAGAGAAGCGATTGGCCATCATAATCCTCGTCAACCATCTATCCGCTGCTGGATGAATGCATCCCCAACCCACCCAAGCAGTCGCCCTTTCTCCACGTTCCTGCGACGCAAAGATCCACCTGGCACCTGCCTGCACTCGACTTTCATTTCATCGCTCCATCTCCGCGTGGGGGACGTTGCTCGCAAACAGCACGTGCCGATCCCTCTCGGGTTGAGACCTCTGCATGCGTGTGTGTGTGTCTGTGTGTGTCAGTGTGTGTGTGTCTGTGTGTGTGTGTGTGTGTCTATGTGTGTCGATGTGTGTGTGTCAGTGTGTGTGTGTCTATGTGTGTGTGTGTCTATGTACGTGTGTCAGTCTGTGTGTGTGTCTATGTGTGTGTGTCTGTGTGTGTGTGTCTGTGTGTGTGTGTCTATGTGGCGCTGAGCGCGCAGCACTACGAACCCGGCAACCCGGGTTCGATTCCCACTCACAGCCAAAACCAGTGACGATTATTTTAACCGGTCCTGGGCATCCCCTAGGTCGACTCAGCCTCAAATGAGTACCTGGTGCGATGTGTAAACATGTGTAAACATCGCCACTGGGGAGACAAAGGCGGTCGGGCGTGGTGCTGGCCCCTTCGTGTGCCGTTCCGGCCTTCATAGGTGCTCGCTAACAGCACTTGCCCCTACAGTCTGTCAAGGCTATACGGGGGATCTTTGTGTGTGTGTTTTGAACGTCTTTCGCACCGTACGTAGCCAACCGTGCTCATAGGAGGTGCGGGGAAAGGAAAGCAAACTAGACGTTGCTAAAAAGCAGTTCTAAAGAAATTAGTTTTCAATTAAAAAAATACGTTTTCATTTTCAAAACTCTGTACTCTGAGGGTCTAAGGAAACCCCAAGTCTCTCCTACCTCGAGACCGGATCCTTCTACAGTAGGAGTAATACAATCGTCGTTCTTAGCCCGTTACTTTCACGAGACCACATCGTGAGTACAGTACATTGGTCGTGGCGCGCGCCGTATTCCACAGACGCAGCCCGCGGTCCATTCGCCACGTGGGTTTTACCCAATACAGCTTTTTCCAGTTCTCTCGAATTTAGCTCAAGTTAGACCGTCACGCCGACACTCGCGGGCTTACCGCCCCCTACCCTCCAGTAGCGTCACGCGGGATCGCTTTTATTTTTTTGTGAACGTTCACTCTGAGCGAGTGTTAAAAATACATTTGGTTAAAGTATTAACCAGGGCGGCCGCCTGGGCTCGAATCGCGAACACCTGCGACAAGTCAGCTGCGAACTCGCGCCTTCGATCGGTCACAGCGTCGCGCTCACGGTAAGAGACGAGCGCACTCAGAGGGCAGGGTGGCAGCGCGGTGGTTAACACTCGTGCGTGCCGGAAGAACGGGCATAGGTTCGATCCCCGAGTCGGGCGCCTTTCGGGATGGATGGAGTTTGTACGCTCTCCCGATACTCTGCATGGGTTTCCTCCGGGTTCTCCGATGTCCTCTCAATGCCTAGAATGAAACCCGCCACGCAATGTGACTGGGACTGTATTGGTTCAAAACACCCGCTGCTGCTGAGAAATTACCCGCAGTTTGCCCAATAGAGATTACAAACACGCACAGTTGCGATCCTCGCACCAGACTGGGAAACTTGGCAGAAGAGTCTTGAGACTCAGGGAGGCCTTTCTGGGTGAACACGCGTCAATAGAATACAGCAATTCCTCGTTTAAGGCGGTAGATGCGTTCCTGAAAAAGTTACGCTTTTAACCGAGGAATTACAGTACAATGCTGAATAAGAGAACTGAGATAAGGGTACGATGCGATACTGTGTCATTCCGCGTACCGTACTGCCCAGTCCCGCTCAGAACCCGCGTTATCACGGGCGAGTTCCGCCTTGCGTGAAAAGTGTTCCCGAATAGGAAGAACCGCGTTATAGCGACAGCGCATTGTGTGAAAAACGCGTTAAGCGAGGATTTACCGCAAAATTGGTGGTGCAGGGGCCACCCTCGGCACCCGTCCCCAAGTACCGGCCCTGGTTCCCGTGGGCTCTGCCCGGAGGTGACATCGTCTCCGTGGAATCAGTGTGGTGGTGATAATGACGACGATAAGGCGTGTGTGTGAGTGTCTGTTGAATTGTAAAAGTACCGAGCGCGCACACACACCCTCACCCTCCCACGGTCACGCGAAGTCTAAACACACACGCACACAATGCAGCACTGTGCACAGAGAGACTACCACCCCACGTACTCGACAGCCTGTCGCCTTGTACCGGGCTCATGGGGGGCGCGTGCCGCGTGCGAACACGACGTGGGTGACGTGACCAGCACCGCCACGCCGAGCCGCCTTTGTCTCCCCGGGGAAATGTCAATCCTCAATGGCGGAGCCAGGGTTTTCAGGTAGGGGGAGCAACCCTTCCAGCAATGAAAAATGATCGGAGTTGTTAGTAAGGACTTGTCCCTTGCTTTTTATTCGACGCGTGTGCGGCGATGGCGCACACATCTGCGAGTCACTTATATCCGCTTTGCCGTTATTTATTGCCAATTATGGACTCAGACTATTGTCCTATCATCTCATAGAGTTCCTGGCACGTAATAATATGCTACACGGTGGCAGTAGGGGTCGCAAAATGCCGAATTATTACTAATAAACCCCAATGATCCGATCGAAATGAGGGATTTCGATCGGATCATTGGGGGGGCACGTGCCCCCCCCCCCCCACTGGTTCGGCTGTCTCTTGTCGCAGAAGCTGGGTCCCTCTTTTTTGGCGGTGTTCGCCGCCGCTTAACCTTTCTTTTTCCGTGGCACTTCTGGCCGGGCGAACACTTTTGAGGGCAGAGATTACTTGTGACAGTTTGACTTTAGGAACTTCCTCTTGCTCTTTTGAAAACATGTGGTGGTGTTTTTTTCTTTCTCTCCGCTGTAGTTAACTGTTTGAGTGTTCTGTAGACATGCGGGGTGGGGAGGAATGTTTCCACTGCCTTGTGCGTGCTGGTGCGAGTGTGTCTGCATATGGGGAACGGTGCTGTAGCGGCTAGCACGCTGTGCCAGGAGCCCGGATACCCGAGTTCGATTCCCACGCATGGCAAACACCAGTGACCATTATCTGGACTGGTCTTGGGCCTCTCCGAGGTAGACTCAGCCTTAAATTAGTACCTAGTGTGATGCGTAAACATTGTCGCTGGGGAGACAGAGGCGGCCGGGCGTGGTGCTTGCCTCCCACTCCATCGTGTGTGCCGTGCCGGTCTTCATAGGTGCTCGCTAAAGACACTTGCCCCAACGGTATTTTAAGGCTATACGGGGGATCTTTATCTCCGTCTTTGTCTCCGAGCCTCTGTTTGTGATTTTGCGAATCCTCGTGATTTTTGTTTTTGTTGCTGCCGCTACTGCAGCAGCTGCTGCTGCTGTTTTAGGTTTTCGTGTTTTTGTTTTAACGAAATAAAAACCTCAACGCGTTCCTCAATAGCGCCGCGTGTTGCCTTAAAAAGAAAATAAAATCTAATAGGCAACGTTTCGGGCAATGGCCCTTGATATGACGTTGCCTTTCAATGCCACGGAGCGCGATTGACAGGGTACGTGTTTGAGTTTGTAGTTAATTGTGCTTGCGCACCACTGCCAACGCAGCTGCTGGAGCGTTGTCTCGTTTCGGTTGAGTTTTCGTCATCTGGATGAACCAGGTGATAACTCGAGATGCCCTGGGTGAAGTCTCGATTACAAGCGCGACCTGGGTCCAGCGCCCCGGACTTTGCAATAGAGAGGTCGCCGGTTCGATCCCCTGGCCCGCGGCAGTTGCAGCAACGGTCGCAAGTCTCTAAAACCATCCCCACCGCCACAGTGCAGCGGGTCAGCAGGTCGCGTGCGGTGGGGTAAAGTTTCGCTGTGGCGCCCCCTCTCTTACAAGACGTCTGGCCAGCCCGGAAAATTCGGTTGAACGCCCGAGAGGTCGTGGAGACCCTTTCGCCAGCAGTGGTAATGGGCAGACATTGCAGGGCTCTGCCTTTCACATTTGGAACCATTTTACCCTTTCACCATTTCGCCTTTTCACATTTCCACCGGCCTCCGTGTGGTTCCAGTTGACATTTTCTCAGTTCTCTTGCTGACTTTGCACCCCCCCCCACCCCGACCATCAAATGAACGTTCCATCACAATACGACTTCTTTCTTTATTTAAACAGCGTTCACATCCATTTCATGAGGTTGCTTTCTCTATCTCTCGCTCGTGATCTTAATGTGCAACCTGGGTCTGTGGCGCCAGCCTCCGATCGCAGTCTATGATGCACGCACCCGCTGTGGAATTTGCCGGGGACAGTTACATCCCTGGCAGTGTTGTTGTTCGTCCGTGAGATTCAATGAAATGTAATCTCCCTTGCTCCCACGAGTCGAGGGACTCCGTTGTGGCTCTGCAAGGGAAACCAAGAGACAGCAGTCATCGTGTTCATGCCCTTCTCACAGTCACTCCTCCTGTACTCGGAGCACTAAGAGCAATCCCGCTTGTTTAAATAATAATAATAAGATGGTAAGATAATATGCATTGCGAGGTTTTTGTTATATTCTCTAGGATTTTAAAGAATATTTTGGCGAAATAATTA